TCAGAGGTGATATACAAATTTTGTTTGTTACTTGTAAACTTACATGTATGCAGTTTTATATTAAAATGTAGCTTACACCTTTTTTGGTCTTAACTTGCATGCATTTTTTAGGCGCACAGTTTGATTGCTTTCCATACATGGAGCCCACCAAAATTGTTCCCAATTAAGCCCCACACCTCCTAAGGCCGGCTCTGATTGCTGGGACCTATAAATACTTTGTACAGTGGAACCCCTACTTGCAAGCGCATCCACGTGTGAGTTTTTCCAAATATGAGCAGTTGATGGGTTGATTTTTTGCTTCCATGTACAAGCATAATTTCCACAAGTGAGCAGACCTCAAGGCAGGTTCCTTGACACTGGTGAGGGGCTCTTGCTCTTGATCTAGGGAATTGTATCTCATTTGTTTGTTGGACTATCTTATTGAAACTTGGGCAATGTATGATGGAAAGATGCTTCTTAACGTACACCAAAAATGAAAAATTGGAGCATAAATAATGGAGTTCACTTCTCAGCAATTAGCCACCCCTTAGCAGTATTTTTGTATGGTTTTCATGGTTGCATTCTCGTTTTTTGGTCTCACTTGATAGAATGGAAGATATATTACAGAAATAGATATGATTTTGATTGCTTTTTCTATGAAAAGTACCTTGAATTGAGCTCAACCAGGGAGAAATGTTCATTTGCTTGACTATGTTCAAGAGTAAACAAATGAAGTCACTGTCCATTCCAATATGCAGTCGTGAATGGGTTGACATTATTTATACAATTATTGCAATAAGGCATAACAGTAAATCTTATATTTTTTGTGTGAATAAAAATTACAAATTATTTATATTGTAATAATAATAGTAATAATAATAATAGTATAATAATGTAATACAATAATAATAATAAAAAATAATATGTATAATAATAATACATATATAATAATAATGTACTACATAATAATAATTAAAACGGTTTCAAAAGGCTGTCACTAGATGGCAGTGTTTACCAGGTCACTTGTTCTATCTAGGCTGGAATATTGCTGCACACTAACAGCACCTTTCAAGGCAGGTGAAATTGCTGACCTAGAAAATGTACAGAGAACCTTCACGGTACGCATAACGGAGATAAAACACCTCAGTTACTGGGAGCGCTTGAAGTTCCTGAACCTGTACTCCCTGGAACGCAGGCGGGAGAGATAAATGATTATATACACCTGCAAAATCCTAGAGGGACTAGTACCGAACTTGCACACGAAAATCACTCACAATGAAACCAAAAGACTCAGCAGACGATGCAACATCTCCCAATGAAAAGCAGGGGTGTCACTAGCACGTTAAGAGACCATACAGTAAGTGTCAGGGGCCCGAGACTGTTCAACTGCCTTCCAGCATATATAAGGGGGATTACCAATAGACCCCTGGCTGTCTTCAAGCAGGCACTGGACAAGCACCTAAAGTTGGTACCTGACCAGCTGGGCTGTGGATCGTACGTTGGATTGCGTGCAGCCAGCAGTAACAGCCTGGTTGATCAGGCTCTGATCCACCAGGTGGCTTGGTCACAGACCAGGCCGTGGGGGCGTTGACCCCCAGAACTCTCTCCAGGTAAACTCCAGGTAAACAACAAAGAGGGAGCAGTTGTGGCCACCTCCACCTGTTACATAACGACATATTTTATTCACTCTAGAGTATATATCAGGTTTCTATGTTATTTATATTATTTGTTACGTCATGTTAGATGAACTGTGATAGATAAATAGAAAATTCGGATTCTGCTCTTGACTCTCGCCCAGGCAGGTCATAGCAGCTCTCCGTACTTACTCTGTCTCCCTACGATCCCCGTTGGGGAGGGGAACCTTTACCAGCGTTGTCATCGCCTTGAATTACACGATGAGCTACGCAAATCGTGTAAAGATCAAACCAAGAAATGGTACCGTTGATGATTCAACGAAGATTGCTCTTGCAACTGTTGTTCAGGTAGCACTGGAAGTAAAATTCAACACCATATTGTCACTGAAAGAAGCATTCATTGTTGTGTGTCACGATGATGCTGAAGCAGAGAAGTTACTTACTACAGAAGCCACCACTACTCTTACTGCTCAAGGGTTTACTGTTACATCATCTCCTGCCCTCAGGGCAAGGAAATCAGTATTCCTTAAAAAACTTGACAAGATTCTGACTTCTCAATCAACTGCTGAACTCAAGTTATCCATCGAGATGCAAAATACTTGGGCTACTGTTGACAGCATTACAAAAATCCCAAATGCAACGTCCATGCTCAAGGTCACCTTCACCGACGTGAACATGGCTGCCACTGCTCTGAACGAAGGTCTTGCTGTCTACTACTACTATATCAGTCCTACCTATATTGAAGCAGAGAGATACCACTACATTCAACATTGCTGGAACTGTTATTCATACCATCACACCACCAAAGCATGTCCAGTAAAAGACAAGAAGTTCTGCACTACATGTGGTAGTGAGGGACACACCTTCAGTTCCTGCAACGCTGCTGCTCCATCACAACCAGCGTGCTTAAACTGCAAGAGTAATGACCACCATACACTGGCAGCAAAATGTCCTACAAGAAAGGATATTATGAAAAAAAAACAAGATGCAGCAAAGAAAAAACCTACAAGCAACACTCCAACGTATGCAGAAATTGCAAAGATACAAGCAAACACTACAAAATTACTCCAAGCATCTACTCAGCCCACCTCCACCATCATCACTCCTCCAACATGTGACGTAACCAAGATCCACTACTGCTTACTATATGCTCACATGCAGAACATGGCTGTACCTGGATCATTTAACTCTACCATCAACGAGTTATTTGCATTAAATAACATGCCTTCATTTACATTTCCAGCATCTCCACCTTCTGAAGAAATTCTCAAATTCACCAAAAACTTAATCGCCAACTCTTCTGCAGAAGTCCCATCAACACCACCAACTAGTGACGTCAATCCAACAACGACCAATGAGAAGCCTCCACCGCCACCACCTCTCACTGAATCCAACCAATCAGAAGCCTTACCACCAGAAACATCTTCTAATTCGTCTACTGAAGTTGAAAACGAAGCAACACCACCTTCCTCTACTCCACCACCGCCTTCTCTACTTAGCTCACCTGGAACACCATGCTTTAAACACAGAGGACTCGTATTCTACACCACGAGGCTATACCCTGCAAGCATGACTCGCCTAGAACTCGTCCAACATCTCCAAGACAACACTGTATCGTACCAAAGCGAAGAAAGACCATTCCCTACCTACAACCAGATACTCCACCACCTCCAAACCAACGAATACTACTACAGCTCTCCCATAAGTGTGATACAACTCTCGTGAAAACAATATACCACACTGATAAACAGTATAAGACCATAACCAACTCATCCTGCTTGCTGCCTTCTGACGCTCCCAGCTCCTACCACTGCCTTCGCCATCCTCTCCTAGTGAGCCAAGCAATGACATCAGTCAAGCCTCTCTATCTACGTCTCCAGTACTTTTGTACCACATGTCCCAAAGTGGTTGGGCCACTTGCCTTGATTCCTCCTCTTCCCCTCCTCCCCATCCTTTTCCAGTTATTTCCATCCTTCCTTATCCTTCTTCCTTCCCATCTTACGACAGCTCTCGTCGTCCTCGATTTGATTTGATTTTGATTTGATAGATAAATAAGCTGTAGAGTTGATGATAGCAAAATAGGACAAAATACTCCTTGACTGACTCCAAACACTCGGCGGCTGCCGCCACCACCACATACATAATGACATATTTTATTCATTCTAGAGTATATATCAGGTTTCTATGTTATTTATATTGTTTGTTATGTCACATTAGATGAACTGTGATAGATAAATAAGCCGTATAGATCATATTAGCAAAATTATTCAAGAAGTAGTATTATGTCCGGTCTCCAGACAAACTGTCGTCCACCTCCGACACCACCCGTACCACTACGTGAATTACATATTTTATTCATTTTAGAGTATGTATCAGGTTTCTGTGTTATTTATATTGTTTATTATGTCATATTAGATCAAGCGAGATAGATAAATAAGCCATAAAGTGAATATTAGTGAAATTATTGAAGTACAGAATTCCACTGGAACAGATTAATTGCATTTCAGTTAATTTAAATGAGAAAAATTAACTGCAAACGAGCATATCCAGTTGCGAGCAAGGTCATGGAATAGATTAAACTCGCAAGTAGAGGTTCCACTGTAGTATATATTTCTAGATAATAGTATGTGACCAATGCAGGTAAAAATGTTCACTTGTCAGTGTGACTATTTGATTACTATTTCAGTACCTAATACGTATTAGTGTCAGAACAAAGATTGGCTATAAAATCACAAGAACTACTATAAATTGTAATTATCAGAACATAAAAATTATATATATTAAATAAAAAAAAAAGAGAAAAAAAGGCATGTAGGCAACATTTCTGCAAGCAGCAGGACTCCATGTTGCCATCAGGTAAACATCCAGCACTAACTTCGCAGCATTACATCTCGGTAAGTACTGATCCTGAAATTTTTTTTTGGTTTTATTACACAGAAAATTGTCCTCTTCATTGATTTTTTTTTCTTCAAAATATTTAGAGCACTAGCAGTGACAACATAGATCTACGTTTGGACAGTTAACGAGTTAAAACTTGCTATCTCACATACTAGCCATCACAATACAATTTTTTCATTTTGTAAGTTGACACATTACCTTGAAGGAGCATTGTAGCAGTTTGACTCAGTTGTTTAAATTATGTGAAAAAGACCAATAAAAGTCACATTGCCTTGGCTGGAATAATTCACAAGATAACTTAAACTTTGGAGAGGAAACTTCAAACATTTTGATCCTCCCTTCCCCATTATCTTCTTTTCTCATGTTTTTCTCTGTCATAACTTGATAATAGTCTGGGATGGACCAAACTATCATCTAAAGTTTCCTTTTCAATGTTTGGATTAACTGTAAAGTAATAGAGCAGACAGATTAAAAATCTTTTATTTTCAGGGTTGACTCAGAGGACGTTGAGCGGAGGCGTGAGCACTGGAGTCAAGTTCGAGCTATTGAGACCAAACTTAGTCCTTCTGAGTCTAGATTATTTATCTCTGAGTTTTTCTTTGATAAGATTTTGCAGAAAGAAACTAAAAAGGATTGATGTATTTTGTGCCATTCAGAATAATAATAACGATGATGATAATTTGAGATTTCATTATTCTTGAGTACCTGTTCTTTCAAAAAATTCACAAGTGCTCACACACCAAGCCATAACTGCAACAAAAGTGATGAAGAAGGAAAACTAAAGTTTATATTCAAGAGTGACAGTATAATTATCAGTTGCAGGTATGCCATTAACCACAAGTGTGGTTTAAGAAAATCATATTAACACTGTAGTCTAAGAGTTTTACACACACACACATACTGTCATTACTAATGGCACTTTCTGCTTATGTGTAAATAATTATATTGAAACATATATTGTACTACCTCCATGGGGAAGTGGAACAGAATTCTTCCTCCGTAAGCCATGCGTGTTGTAAGAGGCGACTAAAATGCCAGGAGCAAGGGTCTAGTAACCCCTTCTCCTGTATATATTACTAAATTTAAAAGGAGAAGCTTTTGTTTTTTCTTTTGGGCCACCCCGCCTCGGTGGGATATGGCCGGTGTGTTGAAAGAAGAAGATATATTGTACTAAATGGTAAAGTCCATTTTTTGTTGTTGATGTGCACTCTGATATTTGAGTGACATTTTCTCTTTTAAGAAAGACTGTTTTAAACCAGTAAGTTTGGGATCTGGTTAATAATTTTATCATAAGACATTCTCATTGTGCTATAGAGAAAATTATGATAAAAATACTTATGTAAATCATGATTATATTAGCATTAAAAACTTTAAAACCATTTTGTCCAGAAAGTTATTATACTTCTGAAGTTGTCTTTTTTCTTACCTCCTAAGGCCAGACTTTTTTATTTCATGTTTTACATGTAGATTTTTTAGTGCTGGGAATAGGAATAAAATAAGTATGCAACATTTAACATAAAAATTCTTTTCAAAGACAAAATGTTAATTATTAAGACATTTTAAATAATGGTAAAAATTTCAGTGTAATTTATATTGTTGAGTTAGTTTCCAAACCTTCCATTGAACATTTAAGTATATGCTATGCCTTTCATTCATGCAGTGTGAGCAGTCTGGATATTTCATATATAATAAAATCAAAATCAAATTCTTTTAGAAATTTAAATCTTAAAGGAAAATGCTTCAAAATATCAAGAGAAACGAAACAAGTGTAATCAGGAAAATGTTTAGAGTAACAGCAATAATAAAAAGTTGCATTTTCAATTAAATTTTATTGTAAAATAGAAATATTAACATCAGTGGGCCTTTAGAACAAAAATAAAATAAGAAGTCTGGCCTAACTAAGAAGTGTATTTTTCATATTTCCTTAATATATGGGGAAAGATGCAATGTGATAACTACTTAATTGACTGAGTTCAAACCTATTATAGGAGAGAGAACTTTAGGTAATCTGTGCACTGGGGGCTAAGTATTAGTAAACAGTGTGGATGGTTTTATCCTAAATTATCAGGCCATAAACATGCTAATTGGTGATCATGTAAGATCAGCCTGTCAGCACATATCTTTTCATGCACTTACTTTTATATAACTAATGAAGTGTAGAAACTATGATTTGATTGTAATATTGCAATAAGAGTTCATTTAAAGGCTTTTATGCAACTTCTGAACTTAATAATATATCATGTAGTCAGTGCACATTACACTGACTATATATGGCCACATCATTACTTGTTATGCAGACATTAGTATCTGGGTCATGTAAGGAAACATTCATTAATGTACTCTATTGATTATCACAGTTCTGCAGTTCCATGCAGTTGAGTGAATCTTGCATAGGCTTAGGGAGACTGGGAAATAATTTATGGCTTGTATTACTGTATTTGTATAAAAATCATTGCATGAACAGTAAAAACTTTTCAAGTGGAAACTGGACCACTACCTTGTATAAGTGCCTGATTAGCCAGGTTGTAATGGCTATATGCACATTCAAGCCACTGGAAGCATGAGCTTGCTTGACTAGACACTCAGCATGGAAACTTGGCCACAGGTTAGACTGTAAGGGGGGTAAAACATCCCTTGAAATTAGTCACATACATGTTAAGAGGTATATAAATTTTCTAATTATGTACATTTCAAAATGTTGAAACTGCAACAAGATCTTCATTTTATAACTTTACTCTGTATAATATTTTACATATTTCCATGTCTGTAATTTACTGTTTGGATATATATAGCACAGAAGTGTTCAGAAATTCTTTTAAAACTAATGTTGCAAGATATTTCAGTTTTTATTAAAAATTGTATGTAAATGTATTATATATTAAGTTTACTAGAAAATAATTTAGTTTAATTTGAAATAAGCAGCTAGGAGTAACTGAAGTAGATACCTACTTATTTCAAGATAGTGTTGAGTTTTCCATCACATTTCATATTGAATTTGAGATTTCATTTAGCTTCACTAAAAAAAGGCTTGTTGCCATTTTAGTGCATTTAATGTGGAATACGTATGCTGTTGCAGTATACAGTACAATGGTGAATGCAGCATAGGGCAGTATGATTCAGTATAGCATATGCAATGTATTACAGAGAAATATGTGGATTACAGTACATGCAGAACACTGCAGTCAGACCAGTCTGGCTAAACCTTACAGATATTTCATTTCAGTCTGTGAACAGTAATGGTATTCTTTCTCCAGTATTAAGATATGAATAATATAAAGTTTTCGAGCATTGCAAGCTGCTGACACCGCCTTACTGTCAAAGGACTAACGTCTGTGATAAAAAATTTGTGGTTCTAGATTTGTGTAAATAAGAATGTATAAAGGGAGTGAGAACAGTTTGAGTAAATGAATAAAATGGAAGAAAAATGTCTCAATATTTATTAAATACTTACAGTAAATAAAAATGAGGAATTACTAAGGATAAGTTTTGGTTTAACTAGAACAAGGAGCTGAGTGTTTTAGCATTCATAAGGCAACAAATCCTGAAAAAGATGCAAGAACAACCATCTTACATCAGTATCAGTATGGATGACATCAATTTGGGGAAAACAATCTCACCATGAGATCATTAATTTCTCTTACTGATATACAGTGGACCCTCGAGTTTAAAACTTATTTCGTTCCAGATGGCTGCTCAAGTGCTGTTACCAAACAAATTTCTTCTCGTCAGGAATAATGTAAATTAGATTAACCCTTTCAGGATCGAGAGGCCCTCTCCTAAACTTGTTCACAGGGTCGGAAATTTTGCGGAAAAAAAAATATTTTTTCTTATGAAAAGATAGAGAATCTTTTCCCGATAATAATGACACCAAAAGTATGAAATTTGATGGAAAATTTACGGAATTATGCTCTCGTGAAGTTAGCGGTTTCGACGATGTTTATGCATCGGCGATTTCGCCCCACTTTGAGCCCTATTTTCGGCCAATTCCAGTGTACTAGTCGACAAAAATCATAACTATTTCGCTAGAACTTCATTTTTTCTATCGAATGAGTACAAGAAACCACCCATTTACCGATTTCAACTATCCAATAAAGTGATCAGAAATTGGCAATGTTGCCAATTTCACAAATTTCAAAAGATGCCAATTTCCAGATAGGGTCCAGAATAAACAAGACAGACATTCCTGGCACTTAAAAACATTTCCTCTGTTCACCAGTCACGTCCCCAGGCCCTTCTTACATTTCTTTTGCTTTCCACTTTGAATTTTTATTCTCACAAAAAATAGAAGATTTACTGTTATGCAGACTACATTAGTGTAGAAATGGTATAAATAATATCAACGCACTTGTGAAACAATACTAGACTCGCCAGTTGATGTGTATTGGACGCGTGGCATGATTTGTTTACTTTTGAACTTTGGCAAAAATCAAACATTTCTGCTACTTTGAGCTCAATTTCAAGGTACTTTTCATTGTGAAACCAATCAAAATCATCTCAATTTCTGTAATATGTCTTCCATTCTATGAAATGAGACCAGGAAAACTAGAATACAACAATAAATACCATACGAAAATACAGTGCAAATTTAACCCTTAAACGGTCCAAACGTATATATATGTTCTTACGCGTAGCGAACCAAAAGTATATACATGTATACATTTTATTTTTCCTGCCTTCAAATTTGGCACGATTGGCCTGAGATGCCTTGTCAGCATAGAATGGGTCCTAACACTCAGTGTGCGTGGTATTAAAAAAATCTGGGACCACTTAGTACCTTGTGGGAGCGCCAGTTAAATTGACCGCCAGCTAGAGCAAACAGTGCGGCAAACACCAAGGATTCACTGATGTAATATCATATTAACACTCCTCTTTTAAGAGGAAAGTGATGTTAACCCCAAGTTTAGGGTCTGTCTATCTCTGTATCTATCTATTTCTGTTTCTATCTCTGTCTCTTTCTATGTCTACCTATGTCTGTATCTCTCTCTCTCTCTCTCTATCTGTCTTTGTCTCTGTATCTCTCTGTCTGTCTCTCTTTCTATCTGTCTGTCTATCTCTGTCTCACAGGTACATATAAATACAAGTATACATAGTGTAAATTACCTAGGATAACCCAAAAAATCCAGACAAAGTGCTATACTCTACTTGAAGATGTGAGTAAACGTGATGACGATGCAGTCTTGTGGCTCTCTCTGAGACAGAGAGCTAGGCAGGTAGACAGACAGGGAGCTTGACAGACAAATAGACAGACATGTTTGTGTACCAGTGAAAACGAAAGTGAGGGCAATGCTCATCAAATATCACCTCTAATCTTTTCTTATCAGCTGCACCCTTCCCCACCCTCATGTATGTTCATCAAATGTCAGTTCTTATCAGTTGTCATCTCACCTTATGTCACTGTCAGGGGTGGACTTTGTTTTTCGTGGCTCAAGGGAACTTATTGTTACCTATTATTATTATTACGTATTATTATTCTTCTCCTCCTCCTCTCCTCCATCTCCTCCTCCTCCATCTCCTCCTCCTCCATCTACTCCTCCTCCATCTACTCCTCCTCCATCTCCTCCTCCTCCATCTCCTCCTCCTTCATCTCCTCCTCCTCCATCTCCTCCTCCTCCATCTCCTCCTCCTCCATCTCCTCCTCCATCTCCCCTCCTCCATCCCTCCTCCATCTCCTCCTCCTCCATCTCCCCCTCCTCCTCCTCCATCTCCTCCTCCTCCATCTCCTCCTCCTCCTCCATCTCCTCCTCTTCATCTTTCTCATCCTCCTCCTCATTATTATATACTTCCACATATCCAAAACATTGCTGGGACATATAAATACTTTGTATATATTCCAAGACAATAGTAAATGGCTAAGGCAGGTGTAAATGTCCACCTGTCAGTGTGTTTGTGACAATTTGAGTATAATTTCAGTACCTAATACTAGTGTCAGAACAAAGATTGGTTATAAAATGACAAGACCTACTACAAATTATAATTATCAGAACATAAAAATTACATAAAATAATATGAAAAATAGAAGAAAAGGTATATCGGCAACACTTCTGCAATCGGCAGGACTCGATGTTGCTGTCACGTGAGCATCCAGTGCCAACTTCTCGGCCTCGTATCTCGGTAAGCACTGACCCCCCCCAAAAAATTCTTTATTCTAAAATACTTAAAAAATGTGCTCTTTTTTTTTCTATAAAAAATTTTTTTTTTTTTTTTCAAAAATATTCGGGGCGCTACGCGAGTGAACATATATATACATTTGGACTGTTTAAGGGTTAAACCAAAACCACAGTCAAAGTTTTTTTTTCTCATTATGCACTGTGTGCTCCAGGATTTTTTTTTATACTGTGCACACTGACCACATAGACCCGTTCTTTCCTATGTAGGCCTACGAGCTTTCTCTTGCTAGATTTGAAGGCGCTAGAATTTAGGTGTACTAGTACGTCAATAGCCCTTGTGTGTAAGCCATACTAGTAGGTCAGAAACTCTGAAAGGGTTAATCTGTTTCAGACCCCCAAAAATACACTTACAAAAGCACTTACAAAAATACACTTACATAATTGGTTGAGTTGGGAGCAGTTCTAAAATTGAGGGTCTAATGTACCTGTTTCCTTAGTCAGCATTAATTGCATACTTCTTATCTGTGGTCTGCCTCCTTTCTCCATCTTCATATAATCATATACTCCTTTTTTTCTATGTAGAACTAGCAAAAGAACCCTTTATATCTTCATTTCACAGTATTATTCATCTTTAACAAACAAAGGCACAATACACAAATAACCCGCACATAGAAGAGAAGAGCTTACGACGACGCTTCAGTCCGACTTGGACCATTTACAAAGTCACACTAACCAGAAGTGGAGCATGACGGCTATATATAGGCAGGCAGAGGTAGTGGTGGTAGTAGTAGTGTTAGTAGTAGGAGGAGGAGGAGTAGTAGTAGTAGTGGTAGTAGTGGGGAACTAAGGAGGAGGAGCCAGTCAATTATAGAGACAGGGGAGCACTGCAAGGGAGCTAGGTGCCCACAGAGGGAGAGCAAGTGCACAGAGGTGGGGGGAAGGGGAAGTGATGAAATAAATAATGAAGGAACAGAAACACGCAACAGAAGAAAGACAAAAAAAGGAAAGAGGAAAGGGGAAGAGGGAGAAGAAGAAAAAATGAGGAATCGGGTTAAGTCATGGGTGTTCTGAAGTTTGGAGCATTTTACAATGTAGTGGGAGAGGAAGGCATCTACAGAGACGAAGCCACGACTAAGATTCATACAAGTAAAGTTATGTATTAGAGAGGATTCAACAAGATGGCGACTGTTAAAGTTGGAAGTAGGGAAGACAGTTTTAGCAGAAGACCAGTCTATAGGATGGCTGTGATCTCTGACTATAGACTGGTCTTCTGCTAAAACTGTCTTCCCTACTTCCAACTTTAACAGTCACCGTCTTGTTGAATCCTCTCTAATACATAACTTTCCTTGTATGAATCTTAGTCGTGGCTTCGTCTCTGTAGATGCCTTCCTCTCCCACTACATTGTAAAATGCTCCAAACTTCAGAACACCCGTGACTTAACCCGATTCCTCATTTTTTTCTTTTTCTCCCTCTTCCCCTTTCCTCTTTCCTTTTTTTTTGTCTTTCTTCTGTCGCATGTTTCTGTTTCTTCATTATTTATTTCATCACTTCCCCTTCCCCCCACCTCTGTGCACTTGCTCTCCCTCTGTGGGCACCTAGCTCCCTTGCAGTGCTCCCCTGTCTCTATAATTGACTGGCTCCTCCTCCTTAGTTCCCCACTACTACTACTACTCCTACTACTACCATTACTACTACTACTACCACCACTACCTCTGCCTGCCTATATATAGCCGTCATGCTCCACTTCTGGTTAGTGTGACTTTGTAAATGGTCCAAGTCGAACCGAAGCGTCGTCGTGAGCTCCTCTCTTCTATGTGCGGGTTATTTGTGTATTATTCATCTTCACTATGTGACTCCATATCTTTGCTTCACATTAGTATTCATCTTCACTACTAAATTCTGTGCATTTTATTGCACAGCACTACTCATCTTTATGAACTATATCATCACTTCACAGCACCATTCATTTGTACTACTAAACTCTTCACATATATGCTTCACAACATCATTCATCTTTACTACACAATCTTGAGTATGTTAACTTCACAGATTAATGGAGTAGGGTCAGATCATAAAAAATATTGGTTATTATCCAATGAGTGGAGATCAGAAAGACCTAGGGTGGCAGCATTATCCAAGATCCTATACTATTTATTATCCTTCCAAAATGATAGTACTTGCAAATTAGTGATACCATGGAACAAGCTTCCAGCTAATAAAATGTTTACAGTATGTCTTGGATTGTGTGTATTTTATTTAAGTCTTGAATCTTGAGAATGGTTGTCATGGAAGTAAAGTGAAAATAAGCAAGTATTTTTG